AGATGGTCTCTAACCCTTGTTCTTTGTGTTAACTCTCTGAGACATGTAAGATATGAAAGGTGCCTATTCTTTAAGAACAAGTAGGCAGTCTGAAAATATACCTAGACCTGTTCTAGTTCTCAGAGATTGAATTTCCCTGAAATGACTGTTAGCCATTTCAACTCATTTTCAGCTCATTACTTTCCTCTTTGCTTTGGGTTGCAATGATGTTAATTAGACTTCAAAAAAATATATGATAGAGCTGGTAAAGCTGCAGACAATGAGTAGAGTAGCTTCTATATGATGCAACATTGCAATGGAAGGGGGTGTTTAAATTGGAAAAAAGAAAGCGTATGAGTGTTGTATAACTGTATATTTTTATCAGATCAAATCAGTCTACTATCTTCCCTGTAAGATATAGAGTGCAGTCTATAATATTGATCCCATGGAAGTTGATAGATAGGTTTTGATTGATTCCCAGTATAGGATTGAGTAAGAATTTACTGGTCCAAAGTTTTCCCATTTACTTCCATGTCTAATGGAGAACTAGAACCAGAGTCTCCCTGTACCTAATTCATCATTTTAACTTGTACATCACATTGGGTCTTAAAACCTTACACAATAATACCTCCCAATAATATCTTGTGCTGTTCTTTTGTATATATGGTTCAGTATATAATAATAATTATACCTTTAACAACAACATCAACCTATCCCAGGTCCTTGGGACAGACTTGACTGGTGGATAAAAATGTTGAACCCAGTCTAAACATCTAACTGACTATGAGACCATAATAGTTAATAATAACAATAACAATAAAAACAACACAAAAACAAACCCTAGTCATTATGTAAAAAATACAACTTACCCGCATCTGAAAAGTCATGGGAACATAAAGTGGAAAAAGTGGTCAAAAATGAGAAGGTGAAGATCTTGTGGGACTTTTGAATACAGATGGATCATCATTTGGAACACAACATGCCAGAAAAGACAGTTGTCAGAAACAAAGTGTACAGTTTAGTGATACCGCTGTACTGGAAGATGCCAGAGTCAAGGTAAAAGAACTGAGAAAAAATCACAAATATTGCGACCTAGCCATCGAAACTATGCAATTATGGATGAAACATGTAACAGTGATACCCACTGTTATTGGGGTACTAGGTACCATGTCCAAGGATTTTACAAAATACATCAAGAAATTGCAGCTTCCTGCAATAACACCAGCAGAACTGCAAAAAAACCTGTGCTACTTGGAATGTACATTTTAAGAAGATACTTGGTTGATACCTAGGATGCTGACAACAACCCATATCAACCATCAGCGCCAGTCAATGATATTTGAGATACATTTTTAAACGTTCAGTTGACTGAGTTTCATGTTTAATGAATAGAAGAATAATATGAACAAAGGATTATTTGTATGAGAGTGTCAAAATGCATGAATCATAAGATTTCAGAGTCAATTTTAAAGTACTTAAAAAAAATCCCAGCACTCATACATGAATTATAAAGTTATGAAATGTTTTCAACCAAAAGTTAGGGGAAAGAATTAGGCCTCCTTTTCCCCTGAGTGGTAGTCTCAGTCTAGGTCAGAAACCATTATGTTTAGACTAGAATAAATAAAAAGGAGAAGGTGAGCCATACAATGAACATTTTATGTGTTGGGTTTTTGAGCCATTAATGAAACACATTGAAGAATATCTTCCACAGCAAAGGGAATATTTTATACCTTGTTGTTTTCATGATTCCTTAATGTCATTAGGTTGTTCTTTGATTAATGAGGAAGCAAACAGCAAACTGTATTTGATGATACTCACAAAGATCAAGCTCCATCATATTTCATTTTTGCTATAATAAATACTGAGAAAATATATTGATTTTATGCCTTTCATAGTTGTCTAGGTGAACCTAGTTCTGACCAAACAAAGAGTAGACAATTTTTCTTTATTATCCGGCTGATTTTTTTAAGTGAATATTCATAATGGCACTTACTTGTGCGTTCAAATACAAGTAAACAAGAAGAATTAGATTTATAAACTGAGAGGAGGATTAATTTTGGCTCTTACTGAGTTCTAATACTAATAATTACATTCCAAATCATTATATAAGACTGCTTGAATTTAATTGCATCGTAGAGAATAAATGTTTAGTGTGTTTTAGCTGATGACATTCTCCCTTTTCTTTGTATTGGCAAAAAGCAGCATTTTAAACAGGATTATAGAATTATTTGGCAAAATTGTTTTCAAATTAATCTTGTTTGTAATCTGTTCATTTTTTATTTAAGTATTTAGCTGCTGGGTCAACCACATGCTGAAAAAAATATTTTGTTGGCTATCTGACTGCTGTCCTATTCTATTGTACAGTTCATATAATTGTATTTTAGTTGTTTGAAATCTCAGTTAGACAGGATTTGAAGGCATCCAGAACATGACATAAATTGAAAAAAGAAAAAGAGTAAATTGGATCATGTGTAAACAAATTCATGAATAATTATTCAACTTTTAATTTCATTCCAAAGGAGAATCATCCTGCTAGATCTTGATTAAATATGTAGATATGTGTGATAGGGTTGAAGTATAATATTGTCAGAATATATGTATGTTTTAGCTTTTTAAGCAAGCTGGTAAAGTGAAGTAACCACAGCTTGTTTGGCCAATTCTCATTTGTTCTGCCAAGAAGACCCAAGTTCAAAAACAAAAGTTCAGAATTTTGAATTCAGATGCAATGACAAGCTATAATTAAAATAAGTTAGGATTTGTAAATGACTAACTATAGCTTCAAATAGTAGTTTGTTGCCATTAAATAAAGGACAACATTTATCCTAGGGGTGCACAAAGCAAGCTATGTTATTGTTTTGAGTAAGAACCAAGCCAGTACTACGGTGATGTAGATCATGAAAGCACAGGCTTGGAAGTTGGATGACTCTTCTAGACAATCTCCTGTCCAGTGCAGGAATCCACACACTATTCCATACAATTGGCTATCCAATCTTTTATCAAAAGCTCTGCTGATGGAGCACTCACCGCTTCAGGAGGAGGATGTTTCACTCCTTAATAGCTCCCAGAGTCAGGAAATTCCTTTTTATCCTAACTGTATCTCTCTCTGTATCTTATTTCTCACTGTAAAACTTCTACCCATAAATTGGTATTGTAGAAATCTCCCTAATGCATGTCAGTATTGCTGATCTCTAAAGCCAATGCTTTAAATTCCCTACAGTTTCAACTTTGTGAACTCTCAAGCTTCCTCTTTCCGCTTTGTATTCAAGATGGACAGTGAATAATATTTATATGTTAGTATGTCAATTCAGTATCATCTAATAATCCAAGACATGTCAAGTAAAATATATTCTCTTTAGCATATACTACAACACAAAAATGTTTTATTTCCCTTGGGCTGAGTTGGGACACAAATATCTGCTTATCTGTAGAAGCACATCTTCATACAGGTGTCTTTCATAGCAGGGCCCTTGGTCTTGAGACTATTTCCTATAGCTGGAGCCATTTGTAATGACTGTGTTTCATGTTTCAATAGAATCTGATTTCTAAGGGGTATGTGTATATACACTGCTCAAAAAAATAAAGGGCACACAAAAATAAGGCATCCTAGATCTGAATGAATGAAATATTCTCATTAAATACTTTGTTCATTACATAGTTGAATGTGCTGACAACAAAATCACACAAAAATTATCAATGGAAATCAAATTTAGCAACCCATGGAGGTCTGGATTTGGAGTTACACTCAAAATTAAAAGTGGAAAAAAACACTCCAGGCTGATCCAACTTTGATGTAATGTCCTTAAAACAAGTCAAAATGAGGCTCAGTAGTGTGTGTGGCCTCCACGTGCCTATATGACCTCCCTACAACACCTGGGCATGCTCCTGATGAGGTGGCGGATGGTCTCCTGAAGGATCTCCTCCCACACCTGGACTAAAGCATCCCCCAACTCCTGGACAGTCTGTGGTGCAACGTGGCGTTGGTGGGTGGAGTGAGACATGATGTCCCAAATGTGCTCAATTGGATTCAGGTCTGGGGAACAGGCGGGCCAGTCCATAGCATCAATGCCTTCATCTTGCAGGAACTGCTGACACACTCCAGCCACATGAGGTCTAGAATTGTCTTGCATTAGGAGGAACCCAGGGCCAACCCCACCAGCATATGGTCTCACAAGGAGTCTGAGGATCTCATCTTGGTACCTAATGGCAGTCAGGCTACCTCTGGCGAGCACATGGAGGACTGTGCGGCCTCCTAAAGAAATGCCACCCCACACCATTACTGACTGACTGCCAAACCGGTCATGCTGGAGGATGTTACAGGCAGCAGAACGTTCTCCATGGCATCTCCAGACCCTGTCACATCTGTCAGATGTGCTCAGTGTAAACCTGCTTTCATCTGTGAAGAGCAGAGGGTGCCAGTGGTGAATTTGCCAATCTTGGTGTTCTCTGGCAAATGCCAAATGTCCTGCACGGTGTTGGGTGTATATGTGTAGGTAGGTAGGTAGGTAGGTAGATAGATAGATAGATAGATAGATAGATAGATAGATAGATAGATAGATAGATAGATATTCAAAATTTACTTGTTTACTGCTCATTTAAAAGTTAGTATTTAGAGGTAACTTGGAATTATTTAGCTTCTGCCTGTGACTTTTCCTTCTGTGCTGCCAACTTACTCAGCTTTCTTTTCTTGTTACTTCACTGATTGCTTAGCTGATTGTTTCCAGGACTGTACTGCTCCCCATTTACTTACTGTCCTCCTTAATTAACAGTATGTCTCTTGCAACTGCAGAGTTCAAGTAGGAAGGAAAGGGCTTGTCCTTCCTGCAGGTGTAATTTAATCGTATGGTCACTGTGCTCTTCTCTGGTACACGTGAGAAATGCAAGGTCTTGTCAGATTTATTGCAAGAGCAAGGGCAAACTTCCCACAAAAGATATAAAGTTTGTACAATGATTTGTGGAATTGAAGAATAACTACAGAGTATTTGTATTTTATCTTCCCCCCCTTCCTCTCTCTTTCCTTCCAGAAAGTGAATATTTTGGACTACTTTTTGTCAAGCTGTCTAGTTGGCAAAACAGATGGGAATTGGTGCTATTGATCCTTTCATCTGGAAAAATGCACTGAATGGGAGATTCTGCCTAATATGGCCAATTGTGACCTTTACCTCTACTGGAATGGACCTGAGTTCATGACTTTGTTACCATGGTGATGATCTTAACTACTACAACTCTGGAAAACAAAGGTGCTGATTCTCTATCATGCAGGACTGAACTGGTAAGAGTTCATGTCACCCAGATGGCTTAGCTTATACACTAGCATTTGTGTCTTTCAGATTACAGGATTCTGCTCCCATTTTAGACTGCAGCATGTGGAACTATATTGATTGTGTGGCTCTAAGCCAATGTGAACATAATAATAAGCGAACAAGAAGAGTTTTATTGTATGCCCAATATCACATTTAGAAAACGATATTGCCTTGCCCATATAGGTAGTCCTCAACTTACAGCCATAACTGGGACTGGGATTGCTGCCATAAATTGATGTGGTCATAAAATGAGACATTATATAATGGCACCGATTTACACTAGCAATCCCAGCATTTCCCATTGGGCAATTAACCAAGAATCATGGATTGTTAAGCGACTACCTCCAAGCCATTGTGGGTTTGGTCCCTGAACACTGAGTCTCAATAAGGTCTGGACTACCTCCATCTCCTCCTCCTTTCCAATTTCCTCCCCACCTATGCCCATTTGGCCATCCTATACTCTACCTTGTGGAGCAGCAAGCAGCCCCAGAATTATGTGGCTTTAGAGCTGCTTGCTATATCCTGGGAAGCCTCAGGCACCCCAGCCCACCCCAGCAAACATTCATTCACACACCTGCCTTCTCTCCCAGCCCCACATGGCTCCCTGGCCAGCAAATGCCAACAAGCATACATTTGCTGCCCAGCCCAGTCCAGCCCAGTCCAGCCTTTTTTTGTTTGCCCAGCTGCCCTTCACCAACCTTTCATCCATTGTTGTCTTCTTTTCAGAGCCAACTTTTCCAGCAAACCTTTTCTACTTTCCTCCTTTTTTTCCTTCTTTCTGAACACAGCACTGTCTTCATAAAACTGTCCTGGGATGCCTTGGAATGCTTGCTGGTGCTTGCAGGGGCAAGCTATGGTGACTGAAGCTTCCCAAGGAATAGTCTGCAACTTCACCATTGAAATCTAAAAGCAATTTTTGCTGCTGTGAGTTACGGCATTGAAGAAAAAAAATAGAGAAAAGATAAACATGTACAAATGTTGCCTTAAATGCTACCCATTCCACATCCCTGTCTTTCTTTTCATCTGCAAATGTTCCGTGTTGTAATAAATTAAAGTTTCTGTTACACATGGAAGATGCCAGAAATCATAGTTTGTTCAAATTATAATTAGTTATCAAATAAGACATTAATTAGGATCACGTTGCAATTTTGATACAGTGGTTAACAAGATATGTGCAAACTGTAATATGTTTCCTTTTAATTATGCTGAAGCAGGAAACTGACATTTATGGTAAAAATTATGAAGAGACCCTTGTGATTTATTTCTTCACGTGCAAAGCAGCAAGGAGAGATTTGCAGAAAACCAAGGCTGCTGTGATGGGTTTTCAGAACAGTTACAGGTAGACCCCAGTAACAAATGCATAGTTACAGCTGGTCCTTGAGCTTCCAGCTGTCATAGCACCCCTGCAGTCACGTGATCATTTTCTGGGCACTTGGCAACCTGCTTGCGAGATGGTTACAGCGTCCCAAGGTCACATGTTCATCATTTGTGACCTTCTGTGCCAACCAAGCCAAGTCAGAGGACAAGCTGATAGGAAAGGCCACAGGTTGCTTGGGTAAGTCTCAACAGCGACTCTAAGCCTTCAAAACACTGTGTTCATGTTGCATTGGCTCCCCCCACATTTTCACACACCCTCTGCCACACTGCAGTGTCCCTTTGCACACCCTTTTTGCACCCTACCCTAGAGTAGCCATTTATCTTCTTGCTGGCCTGCTTGCAAGTCAACAGCAGTTTCCTGATTACTTCTGCATGACTTTGGTTATGGGCAGTTGGCAGGAAGTTGCATGGAATGCCTCACTTAACAAGCCACAAACCTTGCTTAATGATGGCAAGGAGGACTGCTGGGATTGTAATCTGTAGCTAACTTCATGACTACATTAGTTAATCATGAAAATTTTGGTCCAATTATCATTATTAAATGGGGACTCCCTAAAACTGATGTGGTAAAAAATCAGCCTATTTTAAAAATAATAAAATACATCCCAAATTTTAAATTTAAATCACTTCTACTATTCATTAATATGGACTGGTTTTCAAAATATCACAATCAACATCATTAGATCTCTAGAGGACATCCACTTCACCTTTCACCAAATAATTTCAATTCCACAATAACTCTATGTATATTTTGTCTCCTTCATTGTTTGTGTTCTCACATAATAATTAATCTCTTGTATGTAGTTGTGTATACACATACCCCCCCCCCCCCATTCTCAGCATCGAAATAGGGATTTAATGCCAATTTTTCATTTGGCTTCTTTTTTTTAGAGACCATATTTTGATGAATAGTAAGTGTTTTGCATGTTTTAACATAGTAGTAAATTTAATAGATCCTGGCAACCAAGGAAACTTTTGCAAAATAGGTGTAGATAAACAGAAAAACGTTTTACTGTTCACAAAGTATATGGATCAATTTATCTGAGTGGAAATTGAGAAAATATTTTTTTCCTTATTGTAAGAGAAGTATTGTAAATGATGAATAACATATTCCTTTACTTCCTGATTTTGGTAAACAGTTTAATAATTATGAAATGAAATTGCAGTTAAGACAGACATAAATGTCTATCTTAAAATGTCTCACTTCCTCATTTTCATCTTGTTCTTGGAACTAAGCTTTGCCTTATGAATAAGTGATAAATGTAGATTTTTAAAGTAAGGGCCAGAAAAAATGGGGAAAAAAATAGGAAAACCCCAGACTTTTTGTTGTTGCTTTGTTGTTTTTCTTTATAATATACTATAAAATTTAAAGGATAGCAGTTTTTCAATGTGCTGGCAACTGGCAGTCAGCAGAAGTAGCCTGCATTACTGCATTCTAACCACTGCACTGCAACGGCTTGTGTAATGCTCAAATAGCAAGAGACAGAAATAACTTAAAATTAAAATTCTATGTTCTATGGCTAAACATATTCTTAGCGAAAAATGTATCCCTGATGCAAAAGTGTCCTGCTTATTTCCCTGGATTTTATCTATCTTCTCATAGATTCCAAACTTTAATCTTTTGCTTTATCTAGCCATCCTTCCCAGTTTATTCTAAAAAGGATTTGTGATGACCCGGGGCATGGCACAAAGGCAACACAGTCAAATAAGCAAGAAGAGTCCCTTTATTATCCCTAACTTTGCCCCCAATGCCCAGGTTGCCTTCGGCCAGAGAAAAACTCTCCCAGGAACAGCCTTTAAGTGGGGAAAATTCAGCTGAAGACAAAGTACATATAAATTGTAACTAAAAATCCAAACAAACCACGCTGCAGTAATTAACTTGACAGGGCAGGAGAAGGAATTGCAGACTTGAAAGCACAGCAAAACACACACAGTTGGGAAGACGCCAGGAACACGGATAAGCCTTGATGATACCAGATAATTCATGATTTGCTCCCAACAACTTGCTGTGCGCAGCTTCCCTGTTTAAATACTGTGTTTCCAGCTGCAGCTAATAAAAGGAATCAGGGCCCTTTCCTCCCCTGTAAGCCACGTAACTCATGTTGCTCCCTTCTCCATTCCTCCCTGCGTGCTCTAGGATGAAGAGGGTATGGGCTCCAAATTCCTTCTGCTTTGTTCTACCTCTCCCCTGCAATGCCCAGCTGGACTGTGCCCTTCCCCAGTTTTTTCCACAGCCAATGGAGTCACACTCACACTCCCTGTCAGCTGCTCGGCCTCCCTCTCCAAATCAGATTCCGATGGGCATGACAGGATTTCAGCTTTTGTATCAAGCAGAAAGGAAAGATGTTTTAGATAATGTCCTAGCATATGTAATCGAAGCCATGCCTCATTAATTGCAACTCAGATGTGGCTGAGTGTCAGTAAATATAGGATGGGACTGCTACAGAGGTTGATTAAATAACATCTCATGTGGCAATAAATATATTTTGAGCCTTGCTTCCCCCTTCTCCCCCTTTAGCGTTTTGTACAACAAACATATGTTTATGAGGATCCCAAGTTATATGTTACGCATTTTATGAAATTAAAGTGACTTTATATCTATAAAGGATGCTGAAATAAACATTGTATATATTTCATTCCCCCCTGCTAACTTCTCTCTCCCTCTCTCTCTCTCTTGAAAAAGAAAGTATTTTTCTAGTGCTTCAACATTCCTGGAAATGTTACATTTTTAATTTAGTGGAACTTATTTGCTCGACAGCTTAACTTTTAGTGCATACAGTATGAACCTTGAATTTACTTAGCACATGATCTATTTAGTTCAATAAAACTTATTTCTCAATAGATACATTGTGTTACATGAGTCAGGGTAAAAAAACCCTAAAAATAAATAAATGAAAGATTAAATTTATTAACAACATTAATACAATGTTGATAATATAAATTTAAATGTCTTTTCTTCTGTAATAAACTGCCTCTTTTTTGGCAAATTAAATGATTTAGAAGGGGGAAAGAGGAACAAAATATGAAGGGAGAGCACAAGATTTATTAAAAACTGTGCCAGCTAGTTAAACTTTAGAACCATTATTGCAGTCACTGGATAAATTTCTCTTATTGATTCCTACACTGTCTCAGTTTTTCATTTTTTAGATAAAAGGCCCAATGGTGACAATATTGGCATAGTAAATGAATAGTTTAAAAGATTTACAACAAAACAATTTAGATTATTTTTCATTCTCTGTGGAGTAATTTTGATTTTTATTGCTTCAACTTTGTCAACTAAGAACAAGATCAGCTCTATGAAATCAATTTAGAAATGTTTTGGAAATAGTATACTTAAAAAAAACAATTTAAAATATTATTTCTTTAAATAAGCAATAATAATTCTAAAGAAAAACGAAGTGGAACAAATCTTATATCTTCTATTACTATGTTGACAGATTTATAACTTAATATTTTTCTTAGATTAGCCTTTTGTGCAGTTTTGAATATTGTTCAAGGGAGAACCATTACCATGAGTAAAAACTACAAAATTGTAAAACAAGGTGTTTCAGGATTGTCATTGTCACTTCAGCTTTTCTTGTATACTGGAATTTACAACTAGTCTGCTATTAGGACAGTGAAGATGTTACAATGCATGGCCTGGATTTCAGCATAATTCGTAAAAATGTGTGATTAGGTCTTATGTTTGTTTTCAGCACACTCCAAAGAAGATGAGTCAAGGATCCACACTCTTCTCATGTGGAATGATGGGTGAGTATTGCTGCCTCTTGCCACCCAACTCTGATATGATATGAATAAATATTACAAAGGAACAATTAGTATGGAGTTTGAAATAGATGTTCATTGCTTCGTTTTGAAGATTACGTTTCTCTTTCTTTTAAAAGCAAGCAAAAAAACCCCCATTTCCTAATTTTATATATGTTTCTCTTTGAACTTCATATGGTTAACTTCAGTTCTGCTTTATATTACATAACACAGCACTCAGCTGATATGTTTTCTGTGTAAATTTCCAACTGGCTGTTCTGCATGTCAAAAACTTTTGTGACCTTTGACGTATCACAAGTATTGTGGTATCTGATAAATCATCTATCTTCTCTCCAGTCTAAATCAGATAATTGGGATGATAGATAGAGAACATAGTCTATATATAAAACTGTTAATTGGCACATCTGGTACATTCAAACTTTGATCTTGTGGTTCTTAGTAATCAAATTTTATTTACTCATAGAATATGTAATAAAATTACTTATAATTCTTCACATATTCCAAGATTATTATTTTTTTGTGATGTGGGGTATTTCAAAGATATCCTTTGTTCTGAAACTGTTATTCCATCACTTATGCGTACTGTAATATATTAGGTCAAATAGAAAACCAATTCCTAGTCTTTAAAAGGTAGCAGAGCAGTCATTGTTTAACTAGTAGCCTTGTGCTGCTGCCAACAGTGAGATACTGTGCTGGCATCTAAACCACCATCCATTTGACTAGAGAAATATATTGAAATTTATGATGGTTTGAAGTGTTGCTGGTTGCTCTTGAAGGATAAGATGTTTTTTGAAAGTTTAGCCCTGTATTGTAGTCTTTTGTTTCTTATATGATTGAACTATGATTTCTAGTACTAATTAAAATGTTAGATAGACTTTGAAGCAAACTATTCTATCACAAAAACCGGTGCTTTCCCAGCAGAGCATCTGTTCCCCCCATTCATAGGCATTAACTTGATTAGAATTAATGGGATTGAACAATTTTATTGAGGGAGTCATTTTTCAAGATTTCCAGAAATGGAAGTTGCCTGAACAAAATGTATATGGTATATGTATTGGTTGGATGGAAGATGGTTTGTGCACTTGTCTTTAAAGACCTAGGTTTCAGGTTCAAGAAAAGAATAATAGTTCAAATATTAACAATACAGCCTAAAAAGGGTTAATAAGATCTTTCCAACCAAAAAGCTGTATCATGTTTGGAACTGTAGACCAACTTCTTTAGGGGGCACCCCATTGGGCAAGGCTTAGTTATGTTATTGCTGATCTTGTTTGCTACAATAACCTGTTTGCTATGATAACCTGTTTCTAACGCAAACTAATCTTCTTACTGACCATAGCTCCCCCTGTGCAATTGTCTTTGTTATGCCCAATCAAGAAGATCAAATCCAATTGGCACTATTTTTGTTTTCTTTGTAATTTTAGGCATTTTTCCCAGTACTTTTTATTTTGGCTTTTAACTGGCCCAGATTAACCAGCCAAGTCATTGTTGAAACTTGCTCAGATAGGTTCACTGCTGACTGCCGCAGTGAATTTCAAACTGCTAGGCTATTTCTGATTAGATAATTATGTTCTTGTTTGCACAGAAGATTGAGACAAATACATCCTTTCAACTTTGGTTTTGGATTAGAAACTGAAGAAATAAAGTGCCTTATGGGACTTCTTTGAAACAGGGCGGGAACTTGGCTAGCTTTCTTTCTTTCTTGGTCAAGAGAAGTAGGGTCTTTAGAACTAATTGTCCATTTGGCTTTCAGCAGATGCAGAAAATGTAGGCACTACTAAATCTGGTTAGTCCATTGAATAAACAGCGATGGTCTTGAAGACCATATTGTGTAAATTGAATAGTAGTTCGATAGGCCAACTTTTCTCAAACCCAAGGTCTCTCCCAATGTGCTAGAGTGCAACCACAGAGTTCTGGGGAAAGAACTGGGCTGAGGAAGTTTGAGACAGACTGCTGTCTACATCATTCTGCCTCTTAGGTTATAAACTGAAAAAAATTGAGAATGGTGACTCATGGTGAATTCTTACTGCATAAGCCATGGGAAAACTATTCTTTGATTCTGAAAGTCTTGCCAACTTGCCTGAAGGAGAAGCTAGGCAGGCCTGGCACTATAAAAAAAATCTTTGTCTTAGGAATACTGGTGCCTTTTTATAATATTCCTGTTTCATTCTCTCATGCTGTAGCTTTATTCAAAAATTACAAAAAACTATGTATCATACTTTCCATCTTTATTTACAATACATAAAGGCTTTTCTAAAATCTGAGCTAACAGAACAAATTTGCATTTAAATCATTAATAAAATGCTGTGGGATTTCCTATTTTTGAAAAAACTACTTCTTTTTAGGATTTATAATCAAGTCAATGCCTTGTGAATAGTGCTCTGCAGTCATTTACCTTTTAGGTTTACAGCAAGACAAATATTTTTTTCTATCTTTAATGTTTTAATATTTTTCCTTTCTCATTCACCACAATCATTGCTTGCAGCTGTTGTTGAAACATGATCATGGAGAGCAAGGAACAAATACAACATTGTATATTGTACTTTATATAGAAAGCGGTCTGTATAAATGGTCTATTTATATTATCTTTCTTATTGTCCTAGCTATATGTTAAATGAAAAAGATGCTGGGTATCTTTCAATCATATCTTTTTTTAATTTGAAAGAAAGCTTACTTGATGAGTTATAAGTTTGCATATGCTGCAACATTTAATATTTCACATAAATATCTCAAAAAGTGCTCAAAATGTGTATTGTGCTGCATTTTCAGTGAATGTTTAAACAGTCCACAACAGCCCACAATCCTTAAAAGTATTAAGAATATTTTTAGTTTTTAGATATGTTGAGGTAAATATTTGTTGGCTTCAAGAAAGTAAATTTTTTTCTGAGTCTTAGCTTTGCTGGAAAAGGATTAAGAAATGTATTGCTGCAAACTGAGCAAGAACAATTATACATATGTCTTGGGTTAGTAGCTCTTGACTCATGGACATGAGATATTTTTTTCCTTTTTTATTTTCCTCTGGTATCAATATTTCATCCAACCTTTCATAAAACTTACCAATGTAACTAGTTTGATGGTTTGGCAGTTACCCTTTTTTAATATTCATCTAATAAACGTTATTAGAAACCTGTTTAATAAACCGCCACTCAAATATGAAACCTGAAATTTCATTAAATATAATACTCAGAGTAACTAGCAGTCAATTGCAGCAAGAAAAGTTGCACTAGCGCTTGCAGTAGCTCCCCAGCTGTTTCTGAGGCAAATACCAACTTTTGAAAGAGCACCTCTATAAAGCAGCATGAGGAGGGCTAGAAGTTCTCATTTCTTGAGTCATTCTTTGCTTGAATGATTGATGCCTAGTTTAATGGGGTGGGGGAAAGCAAGACATCATTTCCAAATGGAAATTATGGGCTTATTTAGCTTTAGTTAGAGTACAGCCAATATCTGACTTAAATCTTTAACTGAATCATCTGAAAGAATGATTTCAAGGAAATGTGAGAAATAATCAGGAAAACTCATCAGTCCCATCTCAGTTGTGGGTTAAAATAGATCAGATCTGGACAAGAGGTGAATAATAGCATTTAGGAAAAAAATAGATTATCATAGAAATAAAAATACCTTGTGGAACTAAATAATTGCTAATTTGATGTTGCATAAAAGTAATGCTGATCTTAAAAACATTTAATCTCTTCGCTTATTGAAAAAGAGAAAAAATTAGTATGCAACATTTCATGAAATCCTGACTGTTTGAAATTAAAAAAGTAAAATAATAGAAGCACATTTAGTCAGAGAAGTTTTTCTTATATATTTGATGACATGTAGCTGGGATTTTCCTATCACTGTTTACCCATATTTACTTATTCAATTAATTTGTAAAGGTAAGACACTACAGTATAATGACATATATAATTTATATTTACATTTTATATTTTATGAGTTTTATAAGAAGATATATTCAGAATATTATATAGATATATTTATATTCAGAAGAAAATAAACAGTACTGCTAGATGCAGGTTAGTGGGGTGGGGAGAGAATGGGGATTTTGCAGTATCCTCCTGCTACGCCCACCAAGCCACACTATGCCCACCAAGCCATGCCCACACTATGCCCAAAATAGTAAACAATTTTGAATCCCACCACTGATGGACAGATGTAATCAGGAGAGGCAATCCCTCAGATAACTCAATCCTGTGTCATGTAGGACTTTAAAGGTCAAAAACAGCACCTTGCTTTGGACTCAGAAACAGATCCAATGCAGCTCGTGAAGCAGAGGTATAACATGTGTTCTTCTGGAAACATAACTGCCTGTGCTTCTGCATTTTGGACCAGATGAAGATTCCAGATACATTTCAAGGACATGTAGAGCCTGTTGCCCATGTGAAGCACATAACAGTAATACAACCAGAGGGTGACCAGGGCATGATTGACCATGAGTGATACTCCTTAATCTAGGAATGGGCCCAATTGGCATACAATATGAAGTTGAGCAAAGGTCCTCCTAGCCGTGACTGCCACCTGCTCTTCTTCGGTATAGATTCTTCAGTGATGGGTTTATTTTTTTTCCTTTAAATAATATGTTTTCTATTCGGTGAAAATTCAGAGCAGATGTTTTCCAGAACATTTATCCAACCACGCTTAGGCATGTTGGAAAAGATTTTCACAAAAGAAAAAAAGAAAGCAATTCTCTCCAAACATTTAGATTCATCAGGAAAAACAGCATTGGTAGCAGTTGAATAACAAAGGCCAACCAAAGATTATGCTCAACTACACAGAATATATGACAGTTAAAGTGTTCTTCAGTTTTATATCAATGAAGCACTTGTATTTCTGAAAAATTCCTGAAAGGATCCAAGTTTTTTGAGGGGGGATGGAACTATCTCTTTTAATTTTGATTTTCCCTGTATTTAGTTGTCTATTGGTAGAAATAGAGATAGATGGATCAACAAGTATTGCAGGCCCAATTGGCAAAAGAAAGCTTAGGACCA